CACACACACACACACACACACACACACTCACTCACTCACATAAACACACACACAAATATAGGTACAAACACGTGCTACTTACCTCATAATCCTCAGCTGGGTAGCGATAGAGCGAAAAGAATGATGTACAGTTATGCCATCTGTACGTTTTTATTTTTTATTTGTTTTTTTGTTTTTATCTGTTTGTGCTATATCGTTGAAAAGCGGTGGTTATTGGGTACGTTGAGATACAAACACTTGTATTTTCGCTATCGTTTTCTCTGGAATAATAGATGGTAGACAAATACATTAATTAAATGCTTGTTACCAGTCTGTTGTGGAAATACAAAACGTTCTCGTTCTCTCCTTCACTGTTTCTCGTTCTGATTTCTGAATGATTCTCTTTCTCGCTCTGCTTTTGGCTTTGGTTTTAACTATTTCTTTTTCGTTCTTTGGTTCTCACTATCTTCGTTTCTCCTCTCTTTTTTCCTGTATCTCTCTCTCTCTCTCACCATTTTACCGTCTCTCTTTCTTTTTCTTTCTCTCTCACCATTTTACCGTCTCTCTTTTTGTTCTCTCTCTCACCATTTTCTCTCTCTCTCTCTCTCTCTCTCTCTCTCTCTCTCTCTCTCTCTCTCTCTCTCTCTCTCTCTCTCTCTCACTCTCTCTCTCTCTCTCTCTCTCTCTCTCTCTCTCTCTCTCTCTCTCTCTCTCTCTCTCTCTCCTCCCCTCCCTCCATCTCTTTCCTCATCTACAAAAGTAATAAAGCAACTTCACACACGCGCCCATGGTTGTTCACACACTTACACACTTTCAAATTAGCCGCCAAGTGCAAGAACCACTTTGGCATTCATGAAAAGCTCGTCTTTATAAATTCCGTTCTGTTTACCACACCTGCTTGGCCTTTTATTGACAGCCTAGCGAGCGGAGAGAGAGAAAAGACAATTTAATTATTCCTCCAACAGACACAAATCGTCCGATCCACACACACACGAGAAAAAAAAAGAAAAAAGAAATAAAAAAAAGCGACGGCGCCCAAACAAGTAAACAATCGGACGCGGCAACGTTCACCCTCATTACAGCCTTTGATGAGCTCAAACTCTTCTATCCGTGGAGCTGATCCCGTAAACATTCCCCGGCATGGTTCTATAAACAGCCTGTCCCGGGGATTTATTTCTGATGGGGGCTAATACGCGGCGGAATCAATGGACGAAGGTTTTAATATCGCATAATCTCGTGTCCGGGGCCCCGCCGATCCTTCTCGTCCGAATGGCTGCGCGCGGCCGGAGCTCTCGATCTTCTCTCGTCTCGGACTTCGTGTTGGGGGGTTTTCTTTCTCTCTCTCTCTCTCTCGTCTCTTGGGCTAATGGGTTTCGGATGTGATTAGGGCGTAGGAATCGGGCCCGGGATTGATCCACGACGGGCGCAGGGAGGAGGGCCGAGCGGCGTTGGCTGGCGGCAGGTGGTTCGGACGCGGCCGCCCATTCGAGTTCACACCCCGGTCGCTCGCCGGGATTAAAAAGAATGGATTACGTGCTTGCCAAACGCCCCTATCCTCTAGCCCTTCCTCGCCTCGCTCATCCCCGGCAATATCCTCCTCCTGAAAGCGACACATTTCAGCCACATTTCAGCAGACGGAGTGACGGCTCGTGGTCGGCCGAGCGAATTTTCTCGAACGCCAGGCGGTTCGCGGAGGCGGCGAGATGAATCCGCCGGCGAGACTTGGCACCCGGTGAGAATTAACAGAAGGAGAGGGCGCCCTCGAGTGCCCTAACGTGAAATAATGTTTTCCGAAAAGTGAAACAGATTTACCGCGCCTCGACATGGCAGAAGGGAAGGGTGCGGCGCGGGAGGCCCTTCGCTCTGCCCTCCTTCGCGTGGTTGAATTATAGCGTGGTTGTGGACGTTTGAAGCTCTCTTTCTCTCCCTCGGTTGTTGTTATTTAGCGGTTGTAGCGGCAGCGAGCGAGCGAAGTGGCGGTTAAGTGGTGGTTTCGTCCGCTCGAAAACGGGTTCCACTTTGCACCTTGCTAACCTGGCCGTTGTTCGCTTTGGTATGATATGCTGGTATTTCTCTCGCTATTCCCCCTCTTCCTAATGCGACGGAAACATGCGAACACATTCGGATCATGAAACCGAATCGTTTTTCTCTTTTTTTTTTTTTTTTTTTTTTTGGCAACATTTATCCCTCGGTTCGAAATCAGAGCATTTTGGCGGATTGGTGATTTGCAAAGAATCATCTCCGCGCTCTGATTTCAAAAGTTTACAGGTTTGGGAAAACAATGAAACAGATTTCTGTGTATTCCATTTTATTATCCGATTTACTCGGGTTCTCTGGCTTAGTATCCGAGCTCAGGGCCGGATTAGTCCGTTCTTGTAACTCATGGTTGCGGGATGTGACGTCATAGCTTAATAGTCGGCAGAACTGATCGTTTGCTCAAACCAATATTACTTTTTTTCTCGTATATAGATTATTTTTTTTTCTAGTGCAAGATGTTCATGTAATTCATATTTGGGGACTAGATGCTTCAGGTTTCTAATCACAACCATTGTTTTGTGTTTTAGGGTTTGGTAATAAGCTACTATTATTTATTTATTTATTTTTTTATCATCTACTGGTATACGTGTTTACTTCCATGACGTCACACATTTCCTCCAAGATAATTGGCTTAGATCAAGACTGACGTGTACCTATGACGTCACACATTTCCTCTAAGCTAATTGGCTCAGATCAAGACTGGCGTGGGCATATGACGTCACACATTTTTCCCGCCGACATGGGGTTCAAGGCCGAACATATCTAACATAATTTAACTATCACTGGCCATACATCTTATCATATCTGGTCTCGATGATTTATAAACATCTCATATTTATTATTATTTTTTATAATTACACAACTGTTGACTAAACGGCGATCATTCCTTGTAGAGGAAAAATAAAGGTAAGAAGAGAGGGTATACCTTTTTTCCATATAAAGAAAATTATTCATAATATTGTCATGGTAAAACGAGATACATTCTTACGTCTTTAAAAAGATGGCGCTACAACTGTAATTATTTTTTTTTTATAAGTCGAACAATGAAAATGTTGATAATAACGGCAATATACATATTGCAATATCAACATAAATTTCATAATCACGTTCATTGTTATAGAAAAAGAACATGTTATTCTGTAATATTTTCTTATCAGCATTTTATTATTGTGATTTTTAAAATGTTTCTGTTATAACTAGTAATGTCAATTTATTTTTTTATTACTTAAATAGAACGTAATTTGAACTATTATCAATATAACTATTTTAGTAATCGTATTTTGCAATATATCCTGTTTAAAGGCGATTTTAACCATCAAGATAATGATAACAAGAATATTAAGTACAATGCGTTTATGATAACGCTGATACGATTAAATTTATGACCAAATTATGTTATAGTAGTAAAAAATAATAACAATGGCAATAAAGATGATACACTGATGAAAATTAATGATACAAGTAGCAATGATCACAATATCACTAACAACAATAACAGCGACAACTCAACATCATTATACAATTAATATTAATTTTTCCTCCACTGCAATGAACGCCTCTCTGCTCCTAATATATTTATATATTTATATACACATAATATACACCGTTGTTTTAATTTTTACTATACAAGATGTCGTTTCATTTTGACTACAAATGAAATTAATTAATAAATAATGATCATTATAATGATAATTACGTAAGGTGACTAGAGGAAGGTATGTAAATGTGAAGAGGGTGAGGGGGGGGGGGGGGGGGGAGTTAAAAAGGGTCATTAACAAATTGTAACAAACTCTCTATCGGTGCCGTTAATTGTATCTGATTAATAACAACAATGGCTGTAGGGGGGGGGGTGAAGGGCAGGAAGAGACGGGGGGGAAGGGGGGGGAAGGGAGAGAGGGTAGGGGTGGGTTTGTCGGCACAGATGAGCAACCCACACACACGATTTTAACTCTTATGGCAACACGTTCTAAGGGTCATTGTTCCGTAAGTAGAGGTCACATTGGGTCATGTAAAGCTTGTGTTGGCAACTCGAGTACATGAGTTGCCAAGTTAGATTAAATGACTGGGATATTTCAGGTGTCTTTTTTCTTTTTTTCTTTCGAAATCTTTTATCACGAAAGAAACTCTTCTTATGAATGTCCTTTTGATGCATTCTTGTATCTTTACCCGTGATGTTTAACTTTGATGAATGTTGAATAAGCTCATTTCACAACAAATATGTCGAGAATAAATAAATAATGATAATAACGATAAAATATTTCTTCGTCCTTGAACAAGGCTTTTGGGAATAACCTTTTTTTCCCTTTCTTTTCATTTTCTTTTCTCTCGTTTTTGCCCATTTTCGATCACTCTTTTCCTCCTGAGGTAAGACACCACAGAATATGAAAATAACGAAAGGTGTCATGTCACTTTTAGTGTCATATGTCACTCTCACTTGGTTCTGTTGGTGTCACTTCAGACGACACATCACTGAGGTAAAACATTCGGTGATTTTATTTATTATTTCCTATTATTAATTTATTTTTGTTTTTGTTGTGTTCGCTTCACCGTTTTATTTTTTTTTTTTCATATATATTTTTTCTGTTATTAGGGAATCCGTCTTTTTGCAGTTTTTTTTTTTATTTTCGTTTTCTTTCTGTTTTCGCAACAAGAACGATTCTCTGTGAAAGAAAATGGCTATTCTTTTTCCCTTCTTTTTTTTCTTTCCTTTTTTCTTCTTCTTCTCTTCTTTATTTGCATTCGGAATGGAGGGTCAGGTGTGTGGAGGCGAGAGAGTGAGAAGAGAGGGAGGGAGAAGAATGGGAAGAGAGAGAGGGGGGGATAGAGAAGGGGAGGAGGGGGAGAAAAGAGGTGAATGAGGGAAACAAGGAAAAAATCGAGATAGGAAGAGGAAGGAATGAGAATGAAGAAAGGAAGAAACGAAGGGTAGGGGAAGGGGGAGGGGTGGGTGAGAGGAGGAGAGGGAGGGGAAAGGGGAGGGGGGG